ATATATAAACCGTTCATGGAGCATGTGTATATATATATAAAAAACTCTCTCTCTCTCTCTCTCTCTAGATATAGATATAGACAGAGTTCTACCTCATATATATAAAACTGTTCACGGAGCATGGCCTATGAAATAAATATATATTTCATAGGCCATGCTTTGTGAAGGTCAGACACTAAGTCAAATACAACATGTCTTTTGTTGCCTGTATTTACATATATTTTAACCTACACAATTATCCCCTCGTGGTTCCATTTCGATGCCGCTTAACAGTACAGCTAACACAAACCATTCCAGCAAATCTAATTTTCAAGAAGAAGCAGGTCATGCATTGTTCCACACACAGCCTATCTATACTAGATAGGGCACCTCCAACCCCCTAGCCCATCTTGTGTCCCCCAACATATGACCAAAGTTTCTAGTTCCATATTATTCAAGCTAACTAAAAGCTGGTCTTTAATTAAAAACCTAGGCACCCAATTTTTTACCAGTCTCATCAAGCAGTTTTTTAAGGCAGGCTTCAATAGTGTAAGTTTTCTGCTTAGCTAAAGGAAAACCTCCACAGGGGTCAAAACGGACGTACATTAAAACACACAAAAGGCTGCTTTTGAACAAGTTGCCTTGGAAGAAAAAATTAAATGGTGGGGGGGAATTACAAGAGGCTGCAAGCATGCTTTTCAGAAGTGATTCACCATAATGGCACCACTTCATTTCACAATGCTGTCTGCACTAGTGGATGTTTCCTTAAATGTCCTGACCATTAAGAAGTAGCACCAAAGTTGCATGGTCATTGGTTCAATGGGGGAAATTCTGTGGAAAGGTAGTTTCACAGGAGTAAAACGGTCTGCTTTTTTCAGGGGGGTGGGGGAGAATGACATAATTCTCTTCCATCCATGGACTGTTTAAACCTTGTCTTATGCACTGCTGAATATCAAAATGCTCACATCAGAATTTCAAATCCTATATTTTTAATCATTTGCATGAGGTTATTGAACTAGTCTAGACTGTCTGCAGTTTAAAAAAAACAAAACAAAACCCTGTTTCCCAAGTCTGGATTCTTGTGACTGCCTTATTTATCTCAAGGACTTCACGTTCAAGAACACCATTAATCCCTTTAACCAGAGTTTCAAGTTTCAACAGAAAGCTACTGTATATGATATCTTTTGATTTTTTCATTTAATATAATAGTAGTTTATTTGTCATCTCTTTCTTACAATGATTTCCAGTTCTCATAATCAACTTAACATGCCATGACCCAGATGCATTGCAGCAACCTACAAGCTCAGTAAATACGAGATACACCAGTTGTTATTCTACTATACCTCCCATGAGAACTTGGAACTCTCTATATTCTCAACCTGTTGTTTGAAATTAGGTCTGACTAAAACAGATGCGACAAATCTCATAGGTGCAGACACAGAACAAACAGATTATCCTTTTTTCCACCCTTATCACTGGTTTATCTATTTGGGCTAATCATCTTCGTTCAGATTAATGCTATCACCTTTTGCTGCTGCTGTAGTAAGATAGCGTTTTGCCAAAGACAGCATAGTATTCCTTAACAAAAAAGGCTTCATGTCTTGTGTTGATGTTCTCTACAGTTTACTGTAAATGCACGTGTGTCCAGAACAGCCACATTTTTTTTTTTTAAATGTGCCAATCTGCATTCTGCTCCTAGAACACTTGTGGAAAGTCACAAGATGTTAAGGTTGACAATGAATCTCCACTCATATGGACACTTTCCTACTGGTTCAACAGTCAGTTGTTCTTAGATGAACTTGCAAGCAATTTCAAGATCTACAAGAAACAGCAGTCACAAAGAAGACACAGCGATTATAAATTTCATCTGAGGACAAGCTAGCCAAATGAGGCTTCATTTCAAGGAGAACTAAGGACTCAGAAACCTTACAACTATTTTTCCCCCTATTTGGAGAAAATCTTTTGTATCAAAGTGCTAACAGAGTCATTCCTCAGAAGAGGGACTCAAAAAAAATCTTTTAAATTTTGCCACACCTAGAAAACTGCATCCAAGCACACTATTACAGAATCCTGAAATAATTTACAAATGTTTTGATAATGCTTAACACTTACATAGCACTTTCCAACTTCAAAAGCACTTTACAAACACTAATTAGTTCTTTGGTAAAAAAAAGAAACTCAGCTATCACATTTAGAACAGCAACATACAAAAGGAAGGTAGTGGGTTCTGTCTTGGCACTCATGTGAGACTTTACATTAAAGATTTAATTTAAAAACACCAAAATTTTTATAATCTGTAAAAACGTAGCTTTCAATCATATGCTTTACAATGTATAATGCATCTGCCATGAAACCTCAGCTCACCAAAAAATCATAGATAAACATTGGTACAGCTCACACTATCAAAATACAAAAATACGTTTCCTCAGACAGGAAGCAGCATAACATTATAGCATTATTTTTAGTTGGAAAATAAAATACCTGGCTTTTTGGGATGTGATGCTGGAGTGGGGTGCATTTTAGCATCTCTGGAAAACCCATCTAAGTTTCCTTTAATGGCTTCCAAAGCATCATCTCGGCTCTTCTCACCTGCCTGAAACACGATATGACAGATACTTTTTAAAACGGAATTGCAGAGTATCCTTTCAACACTCACACCTCTTTATTCTGAAGAAATATATATAAACTAGATTTTTTTTTAAACAAATCCTGCTAAGTTCTGTGTTCTCCAGTAACAATTACTGAAAAGCATAACACAAACTCCTTTACTTAAAACAGAATTTGTTCAACGGTCTGCATTATGGCAACAAAGGTTCTTCTTCCACAGAAATCTTCATGTGCTTTTCAAGGAATGACAAGAGACAACAAGCCTAAACTCTGAAATCCTCTGCTCAACAAGAATAATTTTATTCACTAAAACTGAAAAACAACTTTAGAGCAGAGTCAACTAACAAATGCACTGAAAAACTAATATTGTTATATATTATAGAAAGCTAACTTGTTCCCAAACAACATATATGGGGTTTGATTACTTATTTTTTCCAGGGCGCATCTTCACATTCATTAATGCACTGTACTGTATTACAAACGCATTAGATTAGTACCTGAAATAACAGGTACTAATTTAATGTGCCGTAATTGGCGCTACTACGCATTAGTACAGGCGAGCGCTTTGTATGTGACATTTAATGTCGATTAGACTAATCTACTGCGTATTAGCAGGGTTTTTGCCAGCTGCACTAATACACAGCAGAATTAATCCAATGGGTATCAAGCGTCTTGTGTAGATGCACCCCAGGATTGGACAATTCATTATGCAACACCAAATTTCTTGTTTTGTTTACACAGCATCAATAGTGTGCAGAGTTAAGTGTATCAGATATTTTCTAGGCAGACAAGTTTTTTTTAGTTGGTTTAATAAAAGATATCAGATTTACCCAAACAGTTGGAAAAATTCTTCTTTGCAAGCTTTCAGGTACCTACACTCTTCTTCAAGTATTTTCTAGAAGTTTAATACAAAAGGCTATTGAATTTAGTAACTCAGATTGATTTCAACAGGTTTCAGATTAGGTTAGGAAGTCTATATACATAAGAAGAATTTACTTCTGCCCTAATACACAAAAAGCCATCATTTTTAAAAACATTACTCAGGGTGTACCTTCGGTTTTACACTGCTTAGGAGTCTCAACTTTTGTTTCTGCTCTTCAAATTGGCGTCGTTTTCTTTCTTCTTCCAAGAATTTTTGCTGGTGCTCAAATCTTTTCCTAGAGCAAAATATCAAACATGCTAATTAAGCAGAGTGATGACAATTTTTATGCTCACCTTGTCAGAGATCATTTGCGTTTCACATGCCTTCCCTTTTTAATTTAAATGTTCTCGAGCACACTTCTCTCCTATCTCATTAAATGGGTAAAAAAACCCCAACCAAAACCAAACAACAACAAAAAAACCCAACTATGATCTACTGTATACAAGGCATACATATCAGACACAATGAAATAGTCTCCAATAACTTCAAAAGTTTTTTTTTTTTAAGAATCCTAATGGGTTTTGAAGAAAAATTATCTAAGAGGATGGTAGGTATGACACTGAACCAGTTGGCAAATGCCTTCCCAATGCCAGAAGTAGGAAAGCCTCACTTACTGTTGTTCTTCTGCAAATTGTTTCTGCATGTCAGGGGTGTATTGTGGAGCAGCTGGACGCATTCCTAAGAAAGGAGCCTGTCCCATGTAAGGCATTCCAGTTGCTGACATAGGTCCTAGGGGCATGCCACCCTATAACAATAACATAAATCTAATGTGAAGCTCTGATTTTATGTACAGCGGCATATGTATCTGGTATCTGCACTGTACCAGGCTCGGAACTAACTAGAGGCCATGAAATTAGAGCATCACCTCTGTATTTGGGCAATGGATCACCATGGACAGCCTAGATGCTGCAGGAAAAAAGAGATGGTTATTGAGTAGGTGGCACTCTTTGTCAGTATGGAGCCAATGGCCCTACTTCAGATTTGAGAGCATGCTGGTCTTTTGGAGAAATGAAAAGTCACCATCCAGACTAAGCGATTTAAAAATCCATGAATACTCTTGAGAGAGTAAAGTGCCCTGTCCCGCAGTCTCCCCTCTTCCCCTCTGACCTCATTATTAACTGTTTTATTCTTTCCTTCCCATCATAAATGACAGTGTGCGTCTCTGCTGTTTTAAAATATTCAAATGCCAGCAGTGCCTGTGCGTTGTACCACGGGTATAAAATAATTCCTAGACACACAGTATGAATAAAGTTTGTCAGTTACTTTGGGAATTCAGCTGGGTGGAAAGAACATATAAATATAGGCACATGCAATTATATAATATGACAGATCATAGAATCAGAGAGAGGTAGGGCTGAAAAGGACCTCCACAGATCAGCTAGTGTTACCCCCTCCTTGAGGCAGGATCATCCCTATCCAAACCCATGGAGAAAAAAAATTCCCTAATGTTTTCACTGCCTTGGCAAATATACATAAATCTGGCAGTGTGAAGAAATGTTTTCCTTCTTTAAACATTATGCCAGTATTTTATACTTATTCCAGTAACCAGTTCCAGAACTATTATATTTTCAATTGAAACAAACATTCATTGGTTATTGAGGATTAACATGAAAATATGGGTTACACACACAGATGGGTGTCCAACACATTTTCAATAAGATCACACCAACAACACTTGCTTACAGTTTACTATACTCAGCAAAACTGTTTTCTAAACATAATGTCTATTTAGGTAACTGAAGCGTTTTAGATGTCTACGTTTTAAGCCATCCCACAAACCTAATATTTTATTAGAGATTTAGTCTCAACAACATTAAAACATCCTAGGGTGATGTGGTCCTTCTTAGCCCTAGTGCTCAAGCTTAGAAAGTGTTGCCAGTATAGTTAAGAGCAAGGGAAGAAAAACATACCCCTAACCAACGTAAATATATTGGCAAAACTCTTACTGTAGATGCAAATATACTAGCAAAAACAACAACAAAAAACCCACCCCTTTTTGCCAGTATACCTTCTTCCATGTGGAGTAGTAGTACAAGATGTTAGCCATAAAAAGAGTTCTGCTGTCACACTCTGCATGCATGCTTGGAGGTTTGCTAGTCTGAGTATACTGGTACAGTTATAACCAGCAAACCCTTCCTAACATAAGTAAGGCCTTAAATGAAGCTCTGGCTATTACCATTAGTGTCACATTCAAGACAAAATAAAGCTAGAGCAATAAATTGCTTTTATCCTCTTAATCTATTTTTAACCAGCTGCTACAAAAAACATCTTTCCGCTGAAGTTTTGTAAACCTCACTATCCATTACATTAATCCATTACAAACAAAATCAAAAAAATATTGTTAAAAGGCCTTGCAAAAAACATAATTAAATTCAGTTAGATAAATTCATTCGTGTACTTTTGATTAAGTGTTGATATAGTTAGTACAGCTAAGCCATTGAAGATTTATATATAAGGGTGGTGAATGCTAAAGGTCGGTACTATTTTCTCCAAAAATAAGCAAAATCAGAGTTTCAAATTCCTCACATTATGGCTTACACCATGCTGTAATCTTACTTCTCAGCAACTGACTATATAAAATGCATTTATTCTTCACATGTAACGGGAAAAAAACCCTGAGAGGATTATGAGCAGTTATGTAGAAGGAAAGTTATTACACTATGCAAAAAGAGAGAGAAATTAAAGACAAAACCACAGGGAGAACAACAATTTAAAAAATTGATAAGACAGAGGAAATTAAGCTTAAATAAATTACCAAAATAATTGCTGCTTTTTGAGCAAGGAACTTTCATGAATTTATAAACTGCTATATCTCTTTACCATATTCCACAGATAGCCACCATACATAACCGAGAGAGAAAAAATAAATCAGAACTCATTGCATTTCCCATGACTGCCAATATAATAAACACAACCAATGAAGCTTTCCATAAAGAACTCACTTAAAATACCACAAAATATACTGCTTTGACAGAAAGTGACTAGATAAGAATAAACACACTGAAAGGGAAGGAAGAATGAAACAAAAGAAAGGTTAAAATGCAAAAAGGAGTATGCTGCGTGAGTTCTAGATCATAACAACTATTAAAGGATGCAGCATTACTACTAATTGTTAAACCTTGCTGTAGGCACCATCAGAAGTACCTAACAAGAGGGCTTATTTTGCAACGTCTTGCTGACAGATTTGTTTCCATGACTGCTCAGTGCCTTATTTCTTCCTGAAGGAAGGGTCTTCGTGTTTAGAACAATAATAAGTACAAGTAGCAAGAGTCCAGGGTTGTAATAATATGGAGTAACCAATAATATCAGAGTTATTCTAAATGTTACTAATAGTGTTCTTCCCACCCCCCCCGCCGTACTCTGCTAGTTTTCCTCGCTACAGTGGTGAGTAATACATGCCAAACTCCCACCCTCAAATCCCCATTATATTGAATATAGCTAATAGCAGTCTTTTCTGCCCAAGTGCAGGGGGGCTGGACCCAATGATCTTATGTGGTCCCTTCCAGCCCCTAACATCTATAAATCTATGAATTATCCAGATCACAGTGAAACTTGCACAGTTCCATAAAAATTAGGAACATTATAAAGTATTTTCACGGAGATTGTGCTGCTAATGCAACTTATAAAAATCAGCAGGCTAGGAGTTATATTCCACCTTTTTATTTTCAGATCACATCCTAGAATCACAAAGTTGGAAGGACCTCAAGGGTGTAATCCTGCCAGTGTAATCCCCTGCATAAAAGTAGTATAGCTGCAGTTAGACTCGGGATAACAGGGTCCAAGACACTTTCTTGGCGAACATAGGTGGCTGCCAATATACACACACACACACACACACACACAGTCAGACATCCACTTCATTTCCCATCTACAGAAGCAAAATGTCAACTCACATACCTGCATGGTCATAGGTCCAGGAGGCATCTGAGAGCCATAATTCATTCCCATCATGCCTGGCATATTGGATTGCATGACGGACACCATTGGAAAACTTTGCTGTTGCATGGGAATCAAACCTAGACAAAGCAAATTAATACTGATTAAAGTTCCTGATCTGTTTGAAAGCCTTTCCTCAAACAGCACAAGCAGTAACAGACACGCAGCATATGGGGATGTTCGCATTTTAAGGAAAGAAATATTATAGGGAATCCTCAGAAATTAGCCAAAGGAACCCTTCACTCATACTAATCATTCTTTAAAAAGAACCCTGAGGGTTTCTTCCCTTTGATTTTTTTGGACTATAATTCCCAAAAATAATTGCTCTAAATAGCCAGAGTGACTTGTCCTCATCTGTCTCCAGCACCCTCCTGAAGAGGTTATTCAGATAATAGTCTTTAAAAAGGCGAAGATTTTACATTCTCAGTTGGCTGGACAATTTGCATGTATGCAAGGGTAGTTAATCCAAAAAACTAGTTTATCCTGATAAAATATCTTTGAATCACAGGTTGATTTAGACAAGCCAGACAGCAGCTTATTAAGTCATTGACTAAAACAAAAGGAATTAACGGGGAGATGTTATAACATAAAATTACATTATCTTGGCAGACACAGACCAATTCTAGACACATTCACTAGCAGCATTCCTGCAAAATAATTAACTGTACATAATTTTTGTTTACAAGAACAACTGCCTCTGGAAACACCAGTGAAACTTCAGCTTGCCATTCTAAAGCTAATCAGTGTTTAGCAAATGGAATTTTTTTTATAAAAGTTTGTCTAGCCCTCCTTCATTTGTAATTATTTAAATACAGTAGTATGGAATAAAAAAAAAAAAAAAAAGAGAGAGAGAAAACAAAGGGATTAAGGTCAAGGCTTAGGTGTCTTATTAATATTTTGTATTTATGTCATGCCTTTTATCCAAGGATCTCACACCCTTGCAACACCTACAATACAGGTATACCAACTGGTATATTTAAATCCAGAACAAGGAGAACGCAGACTCAGTGACAGATTCAGGACTCCACAGCCCTGCTCTAACCTACCGCAACATCCCTCGCCCCCATAAGATCCAATAAGTTAAATGGGAAAACTGCAAACAAAGATGTATGACTCAGCTTAGCAGTACTATTTAAGAGGGAAAAAGGTAAAAAACATAACCAGCAGGCATGCTTATTCTTCGCAATATTAAGGTTCAAGAGAGAATACAAAGTTACTGTACATGTGATGTAAGGTGTTTAACATTAACTTTCACGCAAAGAAAGGGGCACAAAGGTGTTCAGCATCTGAAGTTGATTCATACCTTGAGGAGGGCCAATACTGCCTGCTACAGGGAACATGAAGCTGGAAAAGAAACCAAAAGAACGGGCATGAGTCAACAACTTCATAATTCAATACAGTATTTGAGCAATTATCCAAACATAAGGAATACAAGAGCTGTGCCATGTCATCAGTTCCCACTGTGATACAATAACCCAAACTGTGCCATTCACCTGGCTGACAAAGTCCATACAAATTGCAGCAAATTAAAATCAACCAGGGTGGCCTCCTCCTATACAAGGAAATGGACAATTGCTACTGATGGGCATCACGAAGGATTCTCCTGACTTAATCCTGAAGAGAGCTCCAAAGAGAGGACCAAAAAGGTTTTGAGCCATCTACATGACCAATGGAAATGTTGTCAGCATCATTTTGTGTTGGATCAACAGTGGGTGAATGTCTTGGTACAGGCAAGGCCTTTAAGAACTGTAAAATTAATAAACATCCCCTGCTGGATATATCTGATTCAGCAGAATCATTAACTACTTTATAACATTTTTTCTGCAGAGAAAGAAACTACCCAAGAAATACTATACACTTGCCTTACATTTTTCCTTCTTAAATACTAAGTAGTAAAAGACAGGAAGAAATAGACAATGCACTAGTTTGTGTTTAATTTTCCATGGTATCCAATTTAAAGAAAAAAAATAAATGAGGGGATGGGGACAAAAATCACCAAATGCAGCAAGATAAAAAAGTATTCAAAATTCAACTGAAATGATAATACCAACATCCCCACTTTGAAGCAGAAACATTAGCTCTGCCCAACAGGACAAAAAACAACCTAGTTTAGGGATACTGCTTGTAAGCAATTCCCAGAGACAGATGTCAGCAATAATTTACCAGCCAAGAATTTCTTTCAGTGCCCCATCAACCTCTTGCATCAAAACACTATGCAAAGACAAAGCAGTGCGTAGACATTCAACATCTCTCAGCTCAAGACAGGGTGAGCAAGAGGCCACCTTGACAAACTAAAAAAAACAAAGCAACGAGAAAAATGTCATGAGAATCAACTCCTTCTCATGCATAAAAACCTGCACTGATCAGAAGACCATTCTCCCATGTAAACGTAAGGAAGCTGGATTCATGGCTGCACCCAATCCTCTTACTATGCAGCATGTGTGTATAAGTGAAGAATTCAATCCCAAATACACACTGCATGTTTTCCTCCAGACAACCTCGTTTCTGATTTGAACCCAGGATCCTCTTAGCCCCTCCAATTTTTGTTCTGCCTAACCATCAAGTTACAATTTGCCTTCACCTTTTACAAATCTGAAATGCATACCTGCATCCTACCCAAAACAGACATTACCAGTTTACTTCAGTACCAGTCTGCAGGTTTTCTGTTACCTGAAACATCTCCCACAATCCTGCTGAGGCTGTTTCAAAGACACAGTCTACCTAACTTAGAAATATGCATTGGGACTGGATTGCTCAAACAGAATCCAGCCGCAATCTCCTGTGCCCAAAAGCTTATCAGCTTATTCATGTAGGCCAGCGCACATGAAACAACTTTGGTAGCTTCAGTCCAGGTCTTAACAGACAGATGCTGACAACATAAAACACATACAGCCCTGCTTTAAACAGGCAATCTTGTCTAAAGATTAAACAGAAGGGCCAAATGACTGAATTCCTCTTTTGCTGCAAGAGAGGGTTCCTTCTGCACTAGGTTTGAGGTGTATTGACAGGACAGCATGAACTAACTGGATTCCACCTACAGATCAGGGGTGTCAAATCATCCAGTGTGGGGGCACACATACAAACTCCACCCTTGTGCATCACATCCGGCATGCACTGGCTCCAGCCCCACGTGAAGCATGTGACACACAGGGCTATTCTGGGACTCACACTACAAACCGCATGCAAAGCCAGTCTGGAGCGTGTGCTACGTGTGGCGCTGATGCCAGACCAGCCACGTGTACTCAATCCAGCAAGTTGTACCAGTCCGTGGGCCCAATCTGGACTAGACTTAGTATGAGGGTCCAGTCCAGCATGGGCACGGCATGCAGGGTGTGCCCCAGACTGACCCTGTGCCAGCTCCAACCACATCCAGTGTACTGGGCCTGGGCCAGCACATGCTGAATGCATGGTGCCGATCTAAGACCCACAGACAGCACTGCAAGCCAAATAATTGGGCTCTGCAGGCTGGAACCAGTGCACAGGCCGTATCTTTTACACCCTTGCTATAGGTAGAGGACTTCTGTCCCAAAGGCTGCCAAAATAGCACTTCTTCCCACCATATATAAGACGTACGCAACTAAAAGTAGTTCCATTATGTGCATTTCTGTAAGAACAATCAGACTGGCAACAATCGCTCCAGACAAACTATTCACTTGTAAGTGTGAGGCTTGAAAATGCTTTAGGTTTCAAGTGAACACAAGTTACTTTATGAATAATGAAAGTAAATTTTATTTGAGGAAAAAAAGCATTTTCAGCTCTCTTTTTATTTGGACAGGGAGTGCTTCTATCAAAGTGTCCTCAGTTATTTTAAATTATCTCCTGTTCCTTCTTGGTGGAAATCCTGGTGACAGAAATAAGGATCTGTTCTAGTTTCACTGAAATGTAATGTAATCTGAACAAGCACGGAGAGGTACCATTGCATGCTGGAAGCAAATAAAGAACAGATGATTAAATATTCATTCCTTTCTAGAGAAGTGGTGATTTATTTATAAGCATCCTAAAAAACTGAAGCTAATTAGAAGCCAACTGTAAGAGCTGGTTAAGTGTGACAAAGTTGGTTTCTCTAATAAAATATTCTGTGTGTGTGTGTTTAGGCTGCACTGTGCACCTTGTAGAGTCAAAGATTTAACATGTGTTTGTCTACTTCTAGGCTGTACAAGAAACTGAAAACTACAGCAGGAATTCTGGGATGGAAAAAAAATAAGTGTCTTTTCAATGACGCACAAACAGAGGAGAAAAAATGGGTATACACATCCAATTAAAAGCAGATTCACAGATATTCCCTTTTATCAAAAGAACTTCCGTTAACTGAATTTTCTTCCTCAACAATGGGCATAATTTTTTTTACAGCAATAATTAACTGTACTAGAATTCATTTATAAAAATTAATTACAATTTCCTGATGTGAATGGAGCTTATTCCTAAATAAGATGTTATACCCGATTACACAACTTTTTCAGCTGACAAGAGAATTACTTGCTGAACAAACCAGGTACTTTGTAATCAGGTAAAATATGGAGCTCCCTAATTTCCAGGAGTTGCATGCTGTAATTAGTAGTCTACAATGCCCACTGTACTGGCTTAAGACTAAAGGGGAGTTATAAGTAGCTGAAAATCAACTTCTAAAAGCAGCACATGTAATCTATGCAATATAACGGTCCATTTTATAAAATACGCGTTACAGCTCTTTACTGTCAGGCCCGCCATTGCAGCATTTCCCCTTACTCTACAAAACAGAATGGCATTTATTTGTAGATATTTCTACAGCCCTCGGCAACATCCAACCACCTTGTTCGTACCACTGGCCACTCGTACATCCAAGGACACAACGCCGTAATGGAGAAAGACACGGATATTCAACGTACTTATTCTCTTACGAGCAGCGGGACGCCAGATCTGTTAGCAATAGCACGCGTAAAGAAAAGCTGCTGCCACGCACACCGGGAAGGTAGAGAGTTCAGCAGCAACACTATCCTATGCAAGTTTCTCAGCAAGTCTTTGACTTCAACCGTAGGGGCGCGACTTCAAGACCGCACTGTTCAACAGCAAATCTCCCCCCACGAAGCATCCTCGTCTCCGCGACGTGGCGCCAACAGTTGAAGAGGACAGACGGCTCTCTCCGGCATTCGGACGTTACCCTGAAGTCGCCCCGCGCCCTCGAGTTTCCAAATGACCGCAACAACCCACCCCTGTCCTCACCTCCACGTCCTCGACTACACCCGGGCACGCGACTCGCCCAGGGGAGCGGCAGCAAGGGAAGTCGCCCTACAGAGGCAACCACATCACTCGCAGCAAAGCACCCGAGCCACAGGCCGCGAGACCCCGCGGGCGGCCGCCGGCAGAAGCGGACAGCAACCAGATTCGCCGCGTTCCCACCGTCGGGAAATTAAAACGGGAAGAGACGCGGGGAATCAGGTGGGATGAACTGCACACCTGAGGCTGCCTCTCTTGCGCCCCGGCCTTCCCAGAAACACGCACCTGGGGCTTTCCAGGGGCGCACTCAGGCCTTCCTGGGGATCTGCGCCCAGGCCAAGCTCCCACCTGCACCCGGGCCTTTCAGGGGAAGCTCCAGGAACTTGCAACCGGGGCCTGAGAGGAAGCATCCGCTCCCCCACCGCCCAGGCGAGGGAAACCGAGGGCTGCCCACCTCCTCCTTCCCCTCAGCGGACGCTGCGTGCCCATGGCCCGGCCTACCTGGCGGCCCCCGCGCTCCC